ACTCACCATCAGCCAACCAGTTCACCTCCTTTAGATGACCTCTGGGGCCCCCAACCCGGTAGGAGGTGATACCTCCAGTGGTCAAGCACAGAGCCAGTCAAGCGCTTATCCTACTGAGCCATCTCCCCGGCCTTTTTTTTTTTTTCTTTTTGTTTTTTTTTTTTTTTTTTGCGGAACGGGGGATTTTACTCAGGCTCTTGCACTTGCCAGGGAAGCACTTATTCTACTGAGCCATCTCCCCTGTCCCTCAATAGCTTTCTAGCAGGAAAGTCTTGACTGGTTGTTTAAGACTGTGCCTCAGTTTCCTCATTTGCAAGTGGGTATAAGCAGCCTATCTCCAATGCTGTTGCACAGTTAGAAAAATGAGTGTGGAAAATCATGTTATATAGGTCACTGTTGTGACTGCCCCTGCAGCCGTGGCTGAATTCCAGGCCAGATAGAAATCCTAAAGCAGCACCCACTGGAAAAAGGGGTAATGAGTAAAACAGGGCCAAGGACATTAGGGGATTTATTCCTCATCCCCACCTGTCCCACCACAATGGAGGATAAGACTATTATAATAGATCCATTCAATAATTATGTCAGGACCTGAAATATGGGCCTCCCTTCCCCTTCCCTCCTGGCCTTGCAGAAGCTAAAGTTCTTCTTTGACTCCGAATTTCTTCTCCTGTCTTGGAGGTCTTTCCGGCTTAGCTGCCTCATCCTTCTTCTCAGGTCTTTTCTTCTGTCCCACCGGAGCCTCCACCTTGGTCACGTCCTCCCGCTCAGGCAGCTCTTGCACTGCCACTTCCAGCTTGGTCACGTTCTCCGGTGCAGATGGCTCTCCCACTGGCACCTTCACTTTGGTCACATTCTCCAGCTCAGGGAACTGCTGCTTGGGCATCTGCTGCACAGGTAACTCCGGCTCCAAGTAAGTTCTTTCCTTTTCTTCAGCTATCTCCTCCTCTTCTATCATTTCCTTTTGCTCAATGGACAATAGCTATTAACAAAAAGATAGAAAGAAGACAAGGAGGAGAAAGAGGATAAATAAATAAGCTGATAACTGTCATTGTGACTGTCAAGGCTCTTCTCAGTGCATCCAGAGGGGAATGATCTTCAGCTTGAGCATCCTCATAGATATGAAAGGTCCTCCCCTTGCCTCATGGTGAGAGGATCTTTGGGGGTCACCTTTCTCTTACTCTAAGTCCACAGGTTTGGCTGGCAACTCCAAACTCTAGGGGTGGGCAGGCAGCCTGGGCTCAGCAGGAGGCCCCCACTCAAGACACATACTAAGAGACAAAGTAGTGGGGTCTCCTCAGCTGGGAGGGTGTTGGTTTGGACCTTTGGGGAAATGACTGCCTGAGAATGAAGGCACATAAAAGAAACCAGAGATGAGAAAGTAAACTGGAGCTTCTAAATCCATCCATGTCTGATGTTCTACCAGTTAGGCGGGATAAATCCCCACTGTCACTTAAACAGAGAGGAATGTCGTTGACATTTGTGGCAGAAATCCTGCTAGCACCTTCCAGAGATGGTCTCACTGAGGCACGGGTAAGGGGAAGAAGGGATCGTGGCTCCACCCATCAAGAGAGGGCAGAATTCCATCAAGACATCTGCTTGCCAGCTCAGGAATGTGGACCAGAGGATCACAGCTTTAACCAATGGGCATTACCTTAAGGCCTCACCCTTTTTCTAAAGTCTGACATTTCCTCTTCTTACTAGATGCTCTGCAAATAAAAGTTGCTAGTAAAGCCACATAAACTGGAGAGTTGGCCATCCATCCTCAACCGTCTCCAGACACCCTGAGATTGTGCCACTCTTGGCACACCTGTTTCTAGCCCAGGCTATTCTGGGAGGGAGCACACAGTTCAGCATGGGACCTTTGCCCCTTACCTCATCCTCATCTTCAATCCTGATCTTGACTTGGCTCTCCAGGAAGTCAGAGATGCCCTTCACAGTGTGTTCTCCTGTATATGGCACAGCCTGGAACAAGGCAGAACACAGTTAGGACAGGAGCCTCTTCCTACAAATCACTCATAGATTGCAGCAAAGAACAACCCAGGCTGAATTCCTAGCCACGGGGTGTTGGAGCAGAGTCTTAGCCACTCTGAGCCTCATCTCCATGACTACAAAATAAGAAAACTAGATATTTTTCCATCATAGGATTGCAATGTTGTGGGTCTCAGCATGGACTCTAAAGCCACCCACCAGGCTTTAACTCACATTGTATTACTCATCAGTGTGACTTACTTAAGGAACAGCTCTGACTCAGTTTCCTTATCTGTAATGTACAATTAATAATAGTACCTATGTTATGGTATTGTTATAAATATGAAACAAACTATCAAAAGTGCTTAAAACAGAGTTCAGCTCACAGTAATACTATATACCTTTGCCATCATCATTATTATTATTACAGTACTATAATAAAAATAGTTACATATGTATGTATATATGTTTGAGAGGGCTTCTCCCTGTGTTGCCCAGGCTGGCTTTGAATTCCTGGATTTAAGCAATCTTTTCGCCTCAACTTCCCAAGTAGCTGAAACCACAGCATCTGTACCACCATATCCATGCTAAATAGTTGTTGCTTTATAAAGAACCTGGCCCATGGTAAACGCCCAGTCATTATGGTTCCCGCTCGCTTTTGGTCTTGGGATGATTAGAATCTACTTATTGCCCACTTGGTTGTCTCACCTTGTTTTAGGTAATTTCAAATGGGTGACTCAGCCTCATTCTCCATTACCTACCCACTCACATACCTGCGCCAGGAGGCTGGTACTGTCCCAGTGCTGTGGCTCTTCTTCTGCCCACCTCTTTGTTCACACTCCATTTCCCACCTGTGCTTCAAAGCCATTCTTTTAATCTGAATTAAAGCCTTCTCATTCTGCAGAATCTCTGGAGTGCATGAAGACCTGGACCACATCTGCCCTCCCAAAACCTTCCCTCCTCCTCCCTTCCCACTGGATTTAGAGTTGGACCCTTGTGCAAGGATGACTTCTCCCCCTGCTCAGTGATACTTTTCTCAGGAACAGGGACTTTGGCTCATGTTTCTTTGGTTGACACTATCGTCCATATGCCAGAGTGTCTGGAGAAAATGTCCCATCACCATTGGTAAGGTTAGTTAGCAACTGGAATCCCAAGGCGAGAGACACGAGATTGTCTAGCACACAGTTTCCTTTTCCCCAGTCTTCCCATAGACATTGCCCCCACCTTACTCCATGTAGATGGGGAAGCATCCTTCCTAATGGGAAGCATGTAACCTAAGACCAATCAAAACATCCACACCCACTTAGCCATGCTGTGTGGGTCAAGAATGCACAAAGAACCTAAGTTGTGCACAATTATATATAGTGGGCCTTAGTGCTTTCATGGAAGGTACTGAAAAACAATCTTTGAGCTTGAACAGGAGGGCATACAGGAGGACAGAGCTGAGAATGAAGCTGGTTTCATAGAAGGCAGAGCCAGGGATACAGAGGAATCAAACCCCTGATGATAATATCACAACATTTCTAATCACGAGTCCTAAGACCTTCCCACCTGTTCAGAGTCAGTGGGGAAGAGCCTGAAGAATGGGTACTGGTCTGGGTTCATCAGCTGGATGTCATTAGCTGTGATGTCAATCTTGGCAATGGTGACTGTGGAGTGGTTTTGGTACTTCCTGCCCAACTCCTCCAGGAGTGGGAACAGTACCATGCACTTCTCAGACCAGGGTGCATCTGGAAGAGAAAGGTCTTGCTCAGGGGACTCTAAAGCCAATCCCCTTCCATGGGTGCCACCTCTATGTTCTTATGGCATGACTGCTTTGCTCATTATATTTGCCTTCTTTTATTCATATATTTGGTCATTTTTACATTTCAGCCACAGTTCATGATCACTACTAAATACATTAGAAAGAAAGCTGGGCACTGTGGCACATGCCTGTAATCCCATCACTCTGGGAGGCTGAGGTAGGTGTATTCCAGGTCAAGTACACTGAGCAACTTAGCGAGACCCTGTCTTAAAATGTGCAAAAAAGAAAGACTAGAGATGTCATTCTGTACAAAAGGCCCTGAGTTCAATCCCCAGTACTGTAAGAGATGGCTAAAGAGAAAGAGAAAAAATGTGACTGTGTGTGTGTGTGTGTGTGTGTGTGTGTGTGTGTGTGTATTAATTAATGGTTATCTTGTAACACCTCGCTAAACTGAATCAGCATGGTTCTGGGGTAGAAGGCCCACCTGAGGATTGTTGCCAACAGCATTAAAAGTGAACAGCATGAATAGAGCAGAAGACGATGCACTGTTGGTACTCCTGGAGAAGCTTGTCACACTGGTTTTCTTTTTTTATGAGCAGAATATTTATTGAGGGAAAGAAAGCTCCTGTCCAAGACAGGGACATGAGGGGGGCCCAAGCAGGTAGTTCCCTGGAAAGCTGTCTCTTCCAGGGACTTTTGTAGAGGAAAGCTTTGCGAGGCTAAGGTGGAGAAAGGGGAAACTCTCTTAGGTGGATGTGAGGTGGGACAAATCTATGGTCAACCAATGAGATTACAAGCACCATTGCTCAAGTAAAATTGATTTCATTGGTTTAATCTGACTGAATGTTGTGTATTTTGTGATAAGTATATAAGTTAATCTGGTTGATTTCTGATGTAACTCATGAGTTTCATGCTCATAGTTAATACAGGTATGATATCTCTTAACTAAAGCTAGAGAAACTTAAAGCAAACTGTCAGACTCCATGAATAAACAGGACTAAGAGCTAGTGAATTACTATTGCTAGGTCTCAAAAAAGTTTATAAATGTACCTGTTAGCTCGAATGTTCATGCTTTGATTATATGTGCCCTAATTTCTCAGAAAATTTGTTCTTTCCTAGAAGATACCAAAACCCAGGTAATCATGCAGGTAAAATCTATAACAAATATGCTAGATTAAGATTCCTTTAACTGGAATCCACCAGATTTTGTCTATAGAGACACATATTAAGGCCTTAAAACTAAAAAGTTACATGTTGCTCAGTGGGCCCCAGATATCTGACACAAGCTGCAGAAGTTAGAAGGGTTTGCAGGAATAAATTTGTCTCAGTTGAGGTGTTTCATAGTAGAAAGGATACAGAATGAAATTATAGACAGAAAATGAAAATAGTATTACTAGCATCCTATGGGAATGAAAGCCACACTGGTTTTCTCTATGTGAACTCAGCTGTGCTCATCATCAGAGGAGCCTGGGTTCTCCCTGTTGCTGAGGATGGCTGAGTTTCTCTTCAGGGGAGCTCTGGTCCTTACATTGGAGTCAGCATTGCTTCCTGACTCCAGTGCAGAGTCTTTAACCTACTGGCACAGAACCTTATTCCACTAGCACAGACTTTCTAGTTTCCTGATCCTTGATACAGACTTGCATAAGACATCATTGCCTCTAGTCCTGCAGGTGGACTCTTGGAGGACAGTGCCATGGGTTCTTGGCCCAGAGCCTCAGCTGGATTCTTTATGTGTCTAGTGCCTGCACAGATCTCTTGGCACTCTTCCACATTTCATTTTTGGGTGAATATTATAAAATAATCCCATTAATTTTGGGTCCTGTATTAAATCTATGCCTTGTAAACCTTGACTACAAGTGTGTGCGTGCTTGTGTGTGTG